ATGTGCCACTCAGCCGGCCTCTATTCTATTTTTTAATATGTTTGAAATTTCCATAAGAGAAAGTCTTTTAAAAAATTAAATTTTTTAAATTTAATTAAAAATTAATGAATTTTTTAAAAAATTTTAAAGCACTAAGAATTTCTCTGATTTACATCTCTCTGGTTTTCTATGTAAGTTTATGAAACTAAAAACATTAAAACACATTTTTAGAAAAATAATGGCAAATTATGTACACACAAGTCTTCTTCACAATAAGAATAGTTCAGAGACCACATTTAATAAATCTTCTTCAAATGATGGCCATATCAATACATGTATGTTTAAAAAGCATTCTATAACTAAAAACAATGGGCTGGCCTCTATGAATCACACCAGGTGGTAAGAGAAGTAACAGTATTAACAGAAGCTATATAATTACTGAAATACTTCGAGGAAGTAAAAATCTCTCTAGCCAAAAAAAGGTAGCTTTCACTTTCAAGATCTTTTCCCATTTCTGCAATGACAATTACTTCCCAATCAATGTGACTTCAAAATGAATAAAAATCCAGTTTTTAAAGCCCCAACTTAACAAAAAATTTTTCAGATTAATGTTCATAATTTTATTAAGCTCTTTCCTCTCAAATATAGATTACTGCAATTATATTTTCCTACCTGTCTCACTTAATACTTGGAATCTTCAATAGAGTATCATTCTCTACTAAGAGTTATAGAAGCATTAAGCTTTTCCCTATCAATTTTTCTTTCAATCAATACTTACCCTCAAACTGTATTTCCAAGAATCTCCTCCTGTTTCTTCCACCGCTGCAATTGAAAATATGACAAATAATTCTCACCAGGAATTCAATAATGTTGTTTCCAAAATCTCAGTTTGGAAAACAAAGGTTTTAAATAATATTAGTCTAATATTTCTGTGAATTGTTTTAAACATAACATTGAATGCAAATCCTTGGGAACACAAGGTCCTACATAGATTACTATAAGCTACAGATCATATCTGTGTATATCATAGTCAACTATCAAGTGTTTCATCCACAAGCATTCTTACTTTCATGAAAAATTCTGTACAGAGAAAAGCTCAAAGTACTTGTCACTCACTTCCAGAGTACCTGATATCACCTGATACACCATCACTACAACAATCCAGAGAATCATTTCATTTCAATACAATAATCATGTTTTACAAGTTAAAATGATTAGTCACATTTTCCATGAATTTCCCACATTTAAAATAAAATACTTCAGGGACTTCTAAAAACCTCAGGATTCAATGTTTTACGTTACATTATATATTCTGCATATAGAAAGCAACATGAAACAAGAATTTTAGCTAAAAGGCAAAAACAAAAAAGAGGCACTGTACAGTGTAGTACTGTATTTTTTATGAAATAAAATTATTTTTAAATGACAAAAAAAAGAAGACAAGTCTTCCAAAATGTTTCAGGCGGTCTTAAAATATTAGGAAACACATGTATATAACTACACAAAGGGACCCAGCCACAAAGATGAGTAGAAGCTAAAATCTAGCCTATGTCTGACCATAGCCCAAGTACTATAATTCACACACAGGTATTTAATTTACACAGAGGTACTTCATTAGGCATATAATTCTTTTGATTTTCTGTAGCAAGGACCCAGGTATAGACTTATTCTATCAACTACTAAAAATCGAACAGATAAAAAGATCTGTTAAAGACATTTTAACCATGAAAAAGCTATTTTAAATTAAAATGTAAATAGGTAACCCATTTAGCAATTCAGAAATTTTCATCTCCAAATTTCATTCTGAAGTAAAAATTTCTACAAATAAAAAACACAAAATTAATCCCAAAGTAGAAACTAACCTGATAATAGACACGAGCAGTTAATTTTATATTTTTGTTTTAAACTACATGACATATATACCTAATAACATCTAAAAATTAAAAAGGTCTCTTTCTGGAGAAAATTCTACATATTTGAAAAAGTCATTCATTTCCTACTTCTCAATTTGTGACAAATGACTAACAAAGAGAGCATGATTAAGTTGATTTTTAAAAACCAAGATTCTTAGATCAAAAGTGTTCTATGAAAATACAATGTTATGCCATAATCCAAATAGATGATATCTATTTATTGAAGGGGGATAAAAAGCCATGTGAAAACTGAAAAACTGATTCTTACTAAAGCCTTCTGGGTCTTCTTCCCACATTGTCAGTTCTTCTTCAGTTAACAGAAAATAATGAGAGACTAATCTTCTACATATCTCTGTCAAAGTGGGATATGTGAAGAATGCCATCTTAATCTTATGAGCTTCAAGGGTTTCAGGGCTGCTATCTAGACAAATAAAATTTCCAAGTTAATTGTACAGACAAACATTCTTCCCAAGTTGAATTAGATACCACAAACAAATTTAAAAATACATTCTTGGGAGAAAAGATACAGTGTTGTATAAATTTTCATTTTTATTATCAAAGACACTCATTTCTTTATTTATACCACACACACATCAGTCTTGCTTCTTTCTTACCACTATAGCTTGTCCATTACCATGCTACATGGTCACACCATACTGAAGTAATTTACTTATATATGTCTCTCTCTCCTACAAGACTTTCTCATTCATCTTCATACATATGCACATGGCTGAATCACAAATAATATAACAAATAATTTAACCTGTGTAGAAGTAACCTCACTTTATATAAAGTCAGAGAAAACTTTTAATTATACAAAACACAGCCTACAGCATGAGCTGCAGTGATTATTGTACCCTAATCTTTTTTTTAAGGATGGCGCAGCTCACAGTGGCCCATGCCAGGATAGAAC